AGAAATACATGTACATGTACGTGACACATATGTACTGTACGTGACTGTGTACATGTACATATACATGTATGCATGTACAATATTTGTTAATTTGTTATGCCAGGTACATTAATTGCTTTTGTATATATACCGCCATTATTGAACTTTCAGTAGATTTTTGATTTATGTACATGTACATATGTGTACAGTACATGTTTAAAATGTATGCAATATTTTGTTATATTAGTTGTTGTAATTTAATTAAATTTATGTACATGTACATGTGTCTTACTGACTTTACGTTATACATGTACATGTACATGTACAAAGTGTACGTGTATTTCTTAATGTTATTTGTTGGCTCATTTCATTAGTTGACTTCACAATTACAAACAACAATGGCAGAGTTTACTCATGGAGCAGTTAACTACAGCTATCATGTGAGGGCAATGGGCTATACCATCATTGTACACACCTCATTAGTCATGTCTTTATACTCCTACATGAGTACATGTACATCTACTTGTACCCTAGCTTCTTTAAACTATGTATTTTCCCTCTTGTTTTTTTTCACTTTCCTTTCCTCTTTTCATTTTCTATTTCTTGCCTTCTTTTCCTTTCTTTCTCACTATTCTCTTCCCCCTTCTTCCTTTAGATTAATGTCATCAATTGTTGTAAAGGTCATGCAATGGTTTCTCACGTAAGTTTGTGTGGTTTGAGTCTTTCATCATTCATACTGTGTTCTTTTTGTATACCTTTAGTTTCTTGATTTTGTGAATGCTTTGTCCTCTTGCTATCATGAAGGACATGAGTCTCTCAAGCAGTACGAGTTGTATGTCTCTGAATTAACTGCACAAGTAATGGAGAGGGAGAGAGAGGAGGGGAGGACTGATGTACATATATGTACATTGTAATTTTATTTCTTCAATTCCTAGGTTGAAGATATGAAGATTCAGAGTGACTCTGAGATAAAGACAATGGATGACAGACACGCTCTTGTCTCTGTTCATCATTTTGAGGTGAGGATAGCCTTGTCTCACATGAATCCTAATCTATTGTTCCTTTGTGTAGGAGAGTTCTTCTGATCAGACCTTCCCATCGCTAGAAAACCAAGTCCTGTAAGTACATGTATTGCCCAGTGTTTTATTTTATAATTTTTTAATGATAGGCCTATTCAATTAAGTGGCTATTTGTTCAAAAGAGCAAGCAATGCATTTAAGTTGTGGAACAGGTAAAGTACTGTCTACATGTACATGTACGTGTATGATAATTAATATTATATTTAGGAGATATTTTGAGCTTCGTGACAATAAACTTATCTACCTAAAGAAAGACTCCATGAATATGGTGAGACTCTATTTAATGCCCACCCATCACCCAACCCACCAATAGGATTACGCCGTTGTCATAGACGACCTCAGACTCTGTACGGTCAAACTAGCGGAGGACCTCGAGAGACGGTTTTGTTTTGAGGTTGTCTCTCCTACTCGTTCTTGTATGCTCCAGGCGGACACTGAGGCCCAGAGAAGGAAATGGATGCATCATTTGGATGCAGCTGTGGCGCATGCTTTAAGAATAACCACCAGTATGAAGGTGAAGATCAAGTTGTTTATTGTCTCTGTGTGTGTGTGTGTACTTTTACTGTCATCTTGTGTGGCATACATGTACATGTGTACATGAGTTGTTTTGTTGTGCACATGTACATGTACATGTACATGTACATGTACATCTAGGAAGTGAAAATGAGACACAGTGGCTAATGATAATAACTGTAAAGATTGTAGTCCATGTACATGTACATGTGTTCATCAGAAATGGCTAGAAAGAGTATTTTTATAATTTTTCCTGATACATACATGTACAGTACATGTACATGTATGCATGTTATTATGTTGTGTAGCAAGTTTGAGCTTATTCCGATCAAGTTTGGATTTTTTAATGAATTTGGGCCAAATTTTGCTAAAATTGAAAAGGAGAGAATCCTCCATTTTTATATATTTTTTCCTGATACATATACATGTTCTTATATTGTGTAGGAAGTTATACATGTAGCTGATTCCAATTAAAATTGGATTTTTAACAAATTTTAAAAGTTACTCTAAATGCAACATGCATGCATACATGTACATGTACAATTGTACATGTACATGTATGCATGTAGCTCAATAGTTTTTTTGATATTGTGTCTCTCCTCCTCCTCTTCTAGTCTAGGGAGGCCAAGGAGTCTAGAAAACGTTTGACGAGTTCAAATGCGACGGAATCCTTTAGCCCAAGGATGGACAGCCCATTGCTAATCACCAGATCTGAATCTCCTTCTTCAATGAACTCAATGTAAGAAAAATTGCACATGTACATGTAATCCTATAAAAAGATGTACCATGTACATGGTGTATGCAGTTGGAAACACCCATTCTCAACTCTAGTACACTTACAATTTGATCAACTATACATGCATGTACTTGTACTTGTACATGTACTTAAAAAAAGTGTATGTAAATTTGTATTAATTTGTTCTTTTCCGCAGACTCTCAGTTGGACTTGAGTTCCTTGATGTACCTGGTAATGATAAATGTGCTGATTGCTCATCATCGAATCCTAAATGGGCCAGCATTAATCTTGGGATATTACTCTGCATTGACTGCTCTGGACTACACAGGTACTACAAATGTACATGTAATTGTACATGTACATGGACTTATACAAATTTAATGTACATGTACTTTTTACTTCTCTCTAGGAGTCTTGGTGTCCATATTTCAAAAGTTCGTTCGGTGACACTTGATGACTGGGACATAGAGCACCAAAAAGTACTCAATTGTTGTATTCTAATTACAAGTAACTGCCGGTAATATTGAACTTTTTTAGATAATGTGCTTCCTTGGTAATTCAAAAGTCAACAAGATCCTGGAGTACGACATCCCATCCCATGTTAGGAAACCAGTACCCAGCAGTCCTACGTAAGCGCATGTACTGTACATGTAGTTTTACTTTTATTTATTGATTTATCATTTCATTTACTTTTCGTTTTTATTTATTTTTTTTATTGACCACACCCACTATACATATATTGACCACACCCACTAAATATATATTGACCACACCCACTAAATATGACTACTTTTTTATAAATGTACAGGTCTGAGAAAGAGCCATTTATTCGTTTAAAATACGTCAGTCATGCTTTCGTCCATCCTCATCCTGATTTCACCCGTCCTGATGTGCCCCTCCCTCCTCGTAAGATCCAGGGTACTCTCCTTCGCTCTGTCGCTACCTCGCCAAAACTGGCCGGGAAGATTAATCGCCCCATGTCCATGGCAACCGGCCTTGAGGTGACAAATGGAAACGGGAATAGATCCCCTCTCTCATCTTTCGGTCTACCGAGTGGCCCGACTGAGAAAGTGAGTGGCGACGGGTCAGAAAGGATGGGCGGAGTCAAGTCGGAGAACCTTGCCTTGCTGGAGGCAAATTTAAAGAAGCTTGAAAAGACAGGGAAGCTTTCCCAGTGGAACAAGAGACTCAATAGTGTCGTTAAACGCTCCCCGAGCCCCAAGAAACACTTCTCGTTTACTCGTTTTGCACGTCCAAGCTCGTTCCGACGAAAAAAGTCTCCTTTAGTTGGAGACGATCGATGCTACAGCGACAACGAGTTAGAGGTAGGGGCCTTGCTCTCAATTAGCTCCGCCTCTTCTTCTCCAATCACACCACACCCTCCAAAGAAACCTCCTCGAACGTACGTAACTAAAATGAAGGACATGGAGGACAGAGAAGAGGAGGAAGACAATACCGAGAGACTCTTCGCTCAAGATGACGAGTCCTTCTCCTCTGATTTATTGAACACTTTCCAGAAACTCGGTTCCATGTATAACATGAATGTAATTTTGGATGATCCCGCCCACGAACCTAACGAAGTAAGCGTGGATCATCTCTCCCCACAGCAGTCGAAGCGTGTCTCTATACAACGCTCACTGAGTGCAATGGGTGCCATAGACTCTCCTCCTTCTATATCTGTCACTAACTGTAGCCCTTCACCTCCTCTTAATTCACTACCACCTGTTACTGAGATGTCTTTATTGAAAAACTTGTCATATTCTGACACTTCACTTGATGTGCATTGCACTGAAGACCAGGATGCAAGTATACTTGATGAAGAAGAAGAGAATGTTGACAGCGAGGAAAAGACTGATAAGGATTCTAGTCATGACGATGACAGGGATTCCAAAGATGCTAATTGTGACGAAGAGGCCAAAGAAACGAGTACACATGAACAAGAAAAGGAAGTCGAGTTGCTCAAGGAAGATGAAAATGAAGTGGATGATGTAGGGAATGTTTCTGAGGAGTTATTCAATACAGAGTTACCCCCACCTCAACCTCACAAGCAGTGGAGGGAAGAGGATGAGCTCTCTGACCTACAGGAAGAGCCTGACGAGGGAGACACGGCCTCTTTGAGCAGTCAAGACTCTTTTCAATCAGCAATGGATTTCGGGAGACCTGAGAGTGTTGCTAGCGAACTCTTCCACACTCCCCCTCGGTCTTTGTCTCCAGATGACGAAACCTCACCAGATCTTGAGGCAGCAGAGGGTCACACGGTCTCCATGGGACGTTCCCTCGGGATACATGTACATGTTACCCTCGGGGAGGAGGGGAACGAGGGAGGAGAGGAGGCGGAGGGTGAGGGGGAAGAGGAAGGGGGAGAGAAAGAGAAAGAGGTACGTACCAGAAACATGAGTACAATCACTATCACCGGAGATGACATTGAGCTTGATAATATGAAGACTCTAACGAGACCCAAAAAGAATAATCTCACAGTTGAAGAGGATGAAGGCGGGGCTACCACTGAAGAAGAATTGGATATTGGAGAAGGCCAGGGGGAGGGTGAGGATAAAGTGGGCGAAGTCAATGGAGATGTGGAAGTGGCTAATGAAGTTGAGGCTGAGGACGATAGTAACGAGATCAATTCGTCATCTGAAGAGGATTTTGTTATAATACCAGATAGCATGTCACCTACTAAGGTGGGTGTGAATATTACTTTTACATGTATATTTGATTTATTACTTTTATTTTACTAGTACATTTTTGAGTGCTCTCTATCAGGCGATATCCCTGGGATATTGTGTGGCTTGTGTCATGGAGGGAGTCTGTCTGAGCAAGACCCAGTGGAGGGACAACGCTATCCAGTTCATCAGGCTTGCATTACTGTAAGATACACTGTACATGTACATGTACTTCTCTTTTTCTGTTTGTGGCAATCACATGCAGTTACATTTAGTCATTTACATTGCAATGTGCATGTACATTGTACATGTATTTATTGTGTTAGTGTTGTGTTATTATCGTGTTAGTATTGCATTATTGATAGTCACATCACTGGTTAACTCTGTGTTATCTTTTGATTTAGGGCAATGAGACTGTTGTTGAGTATTTGTATCAGAATGGAGCTAAAATCAACGTTAGTGACGCTAGAGGAATGACACCATTACATCTCTCAGTCCTTAACGATGACGCAACGTAAGCAGAGAAAAGACGCCATGTACATGTACATGTAACTTTGTATCTTCTTTTTCTTTGTAGTCTTACAGCACTGCTATTAAAGAGAGGTGCAGATTACAAGTGTGTTGATGATGACAACAAGACTCCATTGATGTATGCATTGGAAAAAGAGAATGGAAACATAGTAACATTGTAAGCGAGAGAATGAAAGAGAAAGTGTAAGAGGTAAAGTTTATTATTTTAATTTTTTAAGGTTAAAGTTAGCTAAGGCAAGCGATGAGGCTGGTCGTAGTGAAAGTGTGGACTCCCAAATGTTTAGTGAGTGACATGATTGTCACATGATGATCACATGATCTCTTGTTCAATCCTCTAGTGGATGAAACCATGGCAAGTATCTATAAGGATTTTTCAGGTGGTGATCGGGACAGTTTAAAGAACCAGTCCACTTCTAGTAATAATTCTACTCCTTCTGTTGCTTCAAGTGGAGAGGAGGGGAGCAAGGTCTATGTTTCCGTTGCAACCATTTCTAATAGCAATCCTGTCTTTTCAGTTGAGCAGAAAAATTAGTTATAAATTATAACTGTTATTTTGTTGTTGTTATTCTTGTGTCGTTATTATTATTATTATCATATACATGTGTTTTTTATAGAAATTTATCAATACCATCATTATAACTTTGTTTGTATCCTTGATAAGAAATTAATATAAAATAATTACTTAATCATGGCAGTGCACTGTTCAATAAAAATGTTGAGCTTTTGAATTAAAATGACTCGGAGGAGTCATTTATTATTCATGTATATACAAGACTGATGCTAAGGCTTTTATTCAGTTCTCCTTTCAAGGATTATGAATACCAAAAAAATGCAACTGTTTTGTAATGATTGTAGTAGCTAATTCTAAATTAAAACCAAACAAAAAGTATAAAACTAACACTCATCAAAGAAAAACAAAAACCAAAAGTATAAAACTAACACGCATAAAAATTACACCCAATGTTCATTGTTATTCTTTTTATTCCTTTTGTCTCTTGACAAAAATATTTGAAGTAGTGCCTTCAATGTCAAGATACTTTTCTAGTTCATCAGAAGCAGGTAATGATTGTAGTAGCTAATTCTAAATTAAAACCAAACAAAAAGTATAAAACTAACACTCATCAAAGAAAAACAAAAACCAAAAGTATAAAACTAACACGCATAAAAATTACACCCAATGTTCATTGTTATTCTTTTTATTCCTTTTGTCTCTTGACAAAAATATTTGAAGTAGTGCCTTCAATGTCAAGATACTTTTCTAGTTCATCAGAAGCAGGTTCATCATCAACATAAACTATGAACTCAATCAATGGAATTATTCTGGACT